CAACACATACAATTTCTATTTTTGTGAAGGAGGAGCCAAAAAGAACCTGTCTTATTTTCTGGCTGCTACTCAGAAAATTTTATTTTTATTTATTAAAAGAGAGGATCTGGAATAACCGCAAAAGCAGACCTAGACTAACAGGACAGACATGAAGATCTACGCATCACTCTAAAATCCACATTTTTGAGAAAAAAAAAGATATATCCAACATCTTCCCATGGCATTCCTCAAAATGTCACCTGAAGGCAAAGGCAACTTAGTAACAAAAGTTTGCTAATAGTGAAAACTACTGATTTCTCCAACACCAGAACACCACCAAAGTTAATACATATATATTCATCCTGTAGACAGCTGAGCACAAAGAGTTTTTGCTCCCGGGTCTGCCCCAAGTTGCTCTTCAGGATTTTCCTACTGAGTCGGGTTATTGCAACCCTTCCTTCCTCACCAATGGCACTGCTTGTGGGGACCACTCCCTAACACACAAAGTAAAAAGGACCAAGTTATCAAAGTCCTGCTGTTTAATCTATTAAAAGTAATGCAACTCATTTTGACACATGTGGCTTGTGAAGTACTTGATCATACATTCAGCTGGGAGCAAGTTGGAGGTGGTGGCCCCCCCTCACCAGCACAGCTGGATCTGGAAGAGGACATCTGCCCATGATCTACTTTAGGATGCTTTACACAGTGGAGCATCTGCCTGTACCTGTGTCATTCCCAGCCTTTCTCATGGAAGTAGATTTTAAAAGAAAAAAACCCCAAAGAACCACCATAGGAGTGACAGAGTATTTCAAAGATGTCAGTTTCCCAAGGAGGGCAGTTTCAGAGAACAGAAACACTAAGGAAGCTGCAATGTGTTTATATATGATCCACTTATTTAAAACAAATTATCAGCAGAAAAGAGGGGGAAAAAAGGCAATATCCCAAGGCAACAGAAAGGAAATCAAGTGTATCAAAGCTATTCCTGAACTCTCATTACCTACCCACTTGGCAACACTGACTTTTAAAATTATACTACACCATTCGTTTTCACTCTCATGATGCAAGCAAGGAGAAAAGGAAGAAAAAGCTCCCCCATCTTACCTCCCTCTTTTTATTAAAATATCTTAAAAACAGATCTGTATTGTTACTTCGAGGTTACTAATGTTAGCACTGTATATATTTATAGATGAGGTATTCCTTTCTGTCTGAAGCACATGAGGTAATAAGTAGCTGGAATTGTCACAGTGATTTATTAACATATTCTCTAGGAGAAGCCCTGCACCTGCATCTGTGCAGACAGAACACCCACGAAGGCTGAACTCACCCTTACACAGCCCACAAGATCTTAAAAGGAAATGCTCCAAATTTAGACCTGCTCCAACAGGTGTCTTTTACTGTCTCACTTTGCATGATCATAAATATCAGAGGTGGAGCAAAAAGCTCCCTGTCCATTGTAATTGTGCTTTGAAAACAAATACCTTTGCCCCCTCTGAAAGCAAAGGCAGCAGCTATGGAATTCTCATCATTTCCTCACTCCTTCATCCTGCCAAGACCCAAGTCAGAGAGGTGTCACCAGCAAAACCAGGCTCCAGGGATGAGCACATAACTATTTTTTTCTCTTCAAAGGGCCCTAAGCTGGCTCTGAAACTTCCCCAAACTGTATTTCTTTCATTCTAGTATCTCATCTTGCAGCTATTTGCCAAAGTGAATGACATGCACAGGCTGTTCATGGCTTTTTATAAGCTCTCATTACCCAAACAGGGAACCATTTCCTTGAAAATGCTTTCCCCAGCAGCATTAGTCTCTCTAGGCACCACCAATAAATTTGTCTCCCAGCCCATCCTGATGCACACCAAAACATGCCTGGATGGATGTATTTGATACTGCTTTGCACTTGTTTACTGGAGAAACGATGCTACCTATGGGACTTGTCATCAGGCTGACTAACAGCATGGCTGGGGGGGGGTGGGGGTGGGAAGGACAACTTTAACAGCTGAATGGAAAGCTTTGACAGATTTGCTCCAGCAAGCAAAGGAGCAAAATCCAGACTGCTTTCTGTGGTGTAACAAAGAGAGGCATTCTCAAAACCAAAATGGCTATCTACAACTCACAAAACTCCAAAATAAATAAAAACAACGAATCTGGAAAAGAAATCCTAACCAAACTGAGAAAGAGAATAACAGGTTAGACCATGAACTTAGAAATCCTATTAAAATGTTTCATTCTGTAACACTTTCATTATTACAAAATGCCTGAGTCAAGAGCAAATAAATATTTAATACTCAACAGGTACTCAGGAGAATGTGTGTTTTCCCTTGTACCTCCCCACCAGCTGCTCTTTTATGGCAGGAAAGTGAAGAGCGTGAAATCCAATGATAGGAAGAAGGCAAAGGTCAGGAAAAAGGTTTTTCTTCAAGGATTTAAATTAGCGTTCTACAGCTTTGGATGTTTTGTCAACACAACTTCCCTCCTGTGAGCAGGGGAAGCCAAAGGTCCTTTGAACCATTTCTGTATGGGATCTAGATTTTTACCAGTAACAAGATTCCTAGCTTTAAAGAAAAGTTCATCTTCCCTCTTCCCATTCCTTTCACCACTCCCTCCCTGGCCCTCCTTCCACCCCCCTCCTTAAAAAGGGAGGGGAAAAAAGAAAATAGAAAAAGAAAAGGATCTGAAGAGCAAAACAAGCACTGAAAGAGTTCTAGAGTTCATGTAACAAGACCACTATAGCCCTTCAAAGGGACCACTAAAAGCAAAACAAACAAAAGCAACACCCTCAAGATGTCTATTGTATTTTAGAGAGGAACGAATGAGTGTACTGGAAATTCTCCCATCTTGCCACAAAGTCTGTTATTTCATCAAAACAAAGTCCAGAGATCAAGAAATGGCCAACATGGTAGCTAAAAAGTCAGTCACTTCAAGTGATCCATGAAGAAAACGAGATTGGGCTTGCTCTTCTTTTTTTTTTCCTCTCCTTGCTTTACTATGATGTATTGAAAAAAAAAAAAGACTTCAAAGATAATTTTAAGCGTCTCTTTTGTTTCTCATATGAGAAAGTCAGGGCTTGAGCAGGTCTAGACAACACAGTGGTTAAAACATCATTAGCTGCCAATGCTTTGTGTTCCTAGAGCTCCCACACTTGTTGCTACTCTGGAATTTCCTCATCTGAAAATATTTGACAATTTCCATATACTGTGTTGCTCCTCTCAGAGGTTCTCCAAGATGGCAGTTATGAAACAGAGAGTGCACAAGCATCCACAGCAGGCAGTTTCAGATGTCAGAGGCTCACCCAGGTGGATACTGGCCCAACGCTTCTGCTTGATGCTTCAAGCATCTTTTTGTTAAATTTTTTGTCTTTTTTTTAACACTTAACAGATCTTCTCTGTTTGTGCTTCTAGACTATCCCATCATCTGTTGGCTTTACTTGGAGGGTGGCTAACACTTTACATTAGCTTTCATAGCTGTGCATACAAAAATCTAAGAAAGACAGGAAGACATAGAGATTTTTATCCCATCTGTATACCACTGACACTACATTTACCAAATCCCAAACAGTTATGCTCAAGAGCATCTGCTGAAGACAATGTAACTGAACAGGTGTTCCTGAAGGCAAAGTTTGGCCTGCAGGATAAAGCCTGATTAATTTAGCTATAGGGTAACAGGAATAAGAATCCTCTGGTTAGATAAACCTGTAAAATCAGAGGTCAACAAAGGTCACACATGTTACAGCAATTTTTAAGTCCATATACCATAGCCACTCCTAGGGCTAGGAGAAAGGCATAAAGACATGCCCATCCCTAACAGTAGATAAAATAAGTCCTCCCTAGCCCAAAACAGGTCTATTACTCTTCATTTGCGCAAAACCACAGAATGCAACAGTGCTTAATTTCCTGCGCTATGCAGATCAGCTGCTGTGTATGTACAGAAGGCTTGCCTGCAGTTTGGTCCCTGCCATTTCAAAAACAAACCCAGGAGAGTGCCAGTGGGAACATGCTGGGACAGGCTCTTTCTATCACAGCAGTTAACAGGGCTCACTCTTGATCACCTTCCTTCTAGGGTAATCCTTAAACTCAGGCAGAAGAGGAGTCATCTTTCCATGGGCACACAGCACCTCCCTCACATCTGGTAGTGGAGTGCTCAAGGAAAGATTGCACCTAGCTGTGGCCTGCAGCACACACCAGAGGCATTTTCACAGAAGAGATTTATCTGAGAGCAGACCCCAGATGTCCGCATCCTTGACTTACAAGGTCCACATGGATGAATTTCCCAGCTCTCAAATCGCTGTCCCACAGATGTCTAATCTCAGAGGTGAAAGTCTGACTGCCAGCCTGGGACAGACTACAAAAGCTGGCCTCTCAAGGAGCCAGCAGAGCCTTCCACAGAACATGTCAGACAATGTGTGTCTGAGAAAACTAAAATCACTGTACAGAAGAGTATAAAGAGCAACAAGTCATCTTTCCTTCTTCTATTAATGGATATGAATTACGCTGTGCAGGAAGCTCAGCTAGTCTGGCATATTTAATAAATTCATCCAAGACCCCAGTGCAGTTTAATGGTGGATATAACATGGATTCTCTAATGAATCTTTTTGGGCCTGGAAAGACAGCTAAGGTTTTGTGCCTTATATGCAGAAGAATGTCATGAAATCCTGAGAGCGTTCCTCAGATACTCTGTAAATCCATTTGGGACTCAGCCAATGAGACTAGCATTCAATTTACAGACATAGGTCTACCACTTCTGAATCTCTCAATCTAAACTGTATCTGAACTATAGCAATACTGGCTTCACTTCAAGGAGAGTTATCTTTTCACCCATTCCTTTTCTTTCCCTGGGATTTTTCACAATAAAGGCATCAGAAAAGCCTATCAACTGATTGAATGAATAATGAAGTACTGCTCCCTGAATATTGCAAAAGCTGCTTTTCCTTTTCCCTTCTCATCCTACTTTGTCTTTAATCATCACTCCTAGTCCACAGGTATTTTCCCCCATCCCAAGTTCAGTTTCTATTACAAGGACTCATAAGCTTACTTCTGAAGGATGGATCTTTTAATGACAAGTTCTTCGTCCAAGTCAGCTTCATTAGCCATGAAGAGCAATCTTTTTCCCGTGTCATCCACTCCAATGAAGTCACGCTGCTCCACTGAAGTAGAAAATCAAATACAATCATTATATAACCCTCTCTTAATGCAGGCTGGAAAGACAAATGGGACCACCAACCACCCCTAAAATATGAAATACTATGTTTCAGGCTAATCCAGCAAATCAATGAATTTGCAAAAAGTTATCCACAATATTTAACAACTTCTTTTCAGTCAGGATAGCTGATATATATCATGGCATTCAAAACACTGGTCCTGCAAGTTTTTTGCATCCTTTTTATGAAGGTGCCAACTACAGGTCCTGACATGCAATACTCCATCTTGGGCTGTGCTTTCCTTTTTTTTTTTTCAAAAAAACCCCATGCTACCTGAATTTACACAATAACAAACTCAAGGCATGCAGAGAGTTCTTCAAAATCCTACTGGTTCTTCCTCACCATAAATCACTCCACATTAGAATGAGGTGGTCTGGAGAGGATTATGATGTCAGTTAAGACATAACTACTTCGCAACTGATCTCCTATTTCAGATAGACACATAGCAATAGAAAACCTAAATCACATACGCAAACACACATAAAAGTATAGATTCTAAGACTCCTACCACTGATGCTTCTGGGTACAGTAACTTGGTTTAAATGTCTATTTATAAAACTGCCAACCAAGAGAATACCTAATAGTCACATATATTGTGGCAATTCCCATCTCCTGCAATCAGTGACTGTGCATCAGCAGTGACTTTGGTCTACTGAAATGTAAAGCATTTGTTTTAAAACAGTTTTCCATAACATCTGAACACAGTGGTGGCAGTTTATTCTAACTTGCACTTTGTAGTCTGAGCCATCACTTTAGCGGCAACCATACATTGATCTTTACAGGAACAGTGGCTGTACAAGAATGCCCTAGTACAGTTCTAACAAAAAACTCTTTTCTCCCACTAAATACTATAATTTTGGGCCAAACTGGCAAATATTCAATCTCCTAAATTCTAAGCCTTTAACCAAACTGGAGTAACAGCATGCTCTATAAGTAGTTAATTCTCTAAGATCTTTTCTCAGCCAAACTATTTTTAACCCTGTTTTCCCCAGTTCAGTTCCATCCCTTATTTGACTTTTACCTGTTCCTTCAGAGTTTGCATAGCAATAACCACTACGAAAACACAGTCAAATCTATGCAGCTGTTCCAAGTTCTCCTATTGAGAGTCTTTGATCCAAATGATCAAGCACACCCTCTCCAGAAATTCCCCCATCCCTTCTCAGGAATCAATCATACAGCAAAGAAGTACAAAAATAAAGCTCAACAATGACAAATAAAGTACATTAGTATAAAGCTCACTTGCTCTAAAAACTCAGATATAAGTCTTGAAAGCAGTGCCAATTCTCATGCTAAGGAGGGTGATGAAGTTTGAGAGTAGGGGCTAACCAACCATCACCACTGCCATCTAACTGGGGTCTCCTGACAGGCTAGAAACACAACACTGACGGCTCTTCCTCCACCAAGGTACCAACACTTCTCCCAAAGTTCAGGTCATCGCTGCCCATCTCCTGACCATTCCTACAGTAACATACACATTACACTGCTGCAGCAAAGCTCTATGCAAAAAGGGAAAAAGAAAACCTGATGAAAACGGGATCAGGTACATGACTGCCACCAAACCAGTTTCTCCTGCCTGTGTGGATAGGTAAGAAACAGGTAGTGAAACCATGTGAGGGTGCTATATTTTTTTTGTGGCGGATGCTAGGTCAGGTTTTTCACTGTACATCGGCAATAAATAGCATTACTGTTATAATTTAGAAAAGACAAAACCTATTACTAAAATCAATTACCCAGAGATACAAGACTGCTCTTTCAAATCACACTGGCATTACTTAGTGAGGAAAAAAGTAAATGGAAGAATGAATACATAACTAGTTTACAAAATCCCTGCAAGGAAAATATGAGAAAAACGTTACAGCTGCAGTGATGGTAACTAAAAAATTGTTTAAAGATAGATAAATAAGGATTCAACACAGCTATTGCAATTTATTAATTACCTTAGAAGTTAGATCCCCATCAATTTAAAGGGCTTTAACAACCTAAAGAAATCCTGACATCACAAGAGAATGGAAGCTGAGAAATTCAATGATAAGAAGAAACAATTTTCAGTCAGATTTTCTAAAATGCTTTTTAATCAAACATAATTAATTGACACTTGGGAAAAAGACACCTTTGTTAAAGATTCAGTATCTCCACCCTTTCAATTAAAGGGAGAGAATTCACACGATGCAGCCTGCAAGACCACCAAGAGGTCTTCTGGCAAACACAGGGAATACCAGTGATGACATGCCTGCTGCTTTCAAGACAAGAAAAACAAGCAGGCGAGAATCACCATTCCTATCTTTTCTGCCTTTCTTTATACACAGAAAGGTTCAGACACTCTTTTCCACTCAATCCCCTTTCAGGTCATCTTTAAGCACATGGCTCCATTCTGGGTGTCTGAATTCCTGACACCCTCTGTTTATTTGGGTTACTACCATTCACTAGCACTCTGCTTTTTTTTTTTTATTGCCATGTCTCTTATCGATGAATTTAAAAAGCCAATGAGATTATTATTGTCAACATATGATCCCCTAAATATAAAAGCCAATGAACTTCACCCTGTAACTTGCAGTTGAGTTACATCAAGCATTTCAGGAAACCCTCAGTATGAATTCATAGCTGTTTAACATTGCAATTCATGCTAATTTAAAAACTTCCTTGTATCACAGTTCTTGAACGTCAATAATATCCCAAAAGCAACAACTTTGTATTGGATTCCATGACATATGCAAAATAAAAGTCTCATTGCTCCTTCTTAAAAAATGAATGAATTTGTAGAACAGTGAAACAATAAAGCTGCAAATATATCTAGTGGCTCGTCAGGACTAAGGATCCATTTCCTAATACTAGACACTTGAACAGTACAGTGCAAGTACCTAGAAACATACACATGTCATGATTTAGAGAAAGAGCTAATAGTGCTACATACTATGAAAAGCTGCCTAACACATTCCATGTTAATATCTTGCCTTCAACTGCTTATAAGCTTCATCAAATTTTAACTCTTTGGGATGAAATTTCCAATACCAGGTGCCTGTCTTAAGAGGAACATTTGGAAAACTTCAGCAAAAACAGTTCAGCTGCTTCTAAAGCTAAAGAAAAAAAGGTGTTTACCCTAAGCTTAAATGGTTAGGTGGCCCTTCCCTTGAAAAGCTCTGGTATTCCAGTTCTTCAGAGAAAGACCACAACATTCAGTAAGTGCTGCTGACCTGTGTATCAGGAGAGTACTTTTAACCACCTGACTCCATTATAAATCTTTGAAAAACTGTAGTTTCACATGCTCTTTCAAGACTTCTATTTTTGCTGCAAGAACATCTGCATATTTTATTTAAGGAGAGGTTGTTTCAACTCCTCAGCTCCTAGAACTGATCAAATGGCAGGTGCCATCTAAGGTCTTCTGTACAAGGTGGTACAAGCAAAGCGCACAAGCCATGAGGCTCCACAACCATGCTGTGATGACTGCTCCAGGGGAAGGAGCTTGGTCTGTTGTGTTTTTGCAACACTTTTTTTTACAAGGAAATAAAGCTCATAAGCTCACAAGGGTGAGGGGAAAGAAAAGCATAAAAACAAGGACTCTGCAAGATGGGCTGGAAGGGAGAGAAGGCAGTCCCTGAAAACTAGTGGAAATTTTGACTGTCTGTGAAAGGACACTGGACCACAAAAACAGGAATTGGAAGAGAAGAAAAAAGGTGACTATGGGCAGATAAATGAAGTAGGTCAAGATTAGAAATCAGAAGTGGAACAGGGGATGGGACTGGTAATGAAAGAAAAGAGTAATATATGAGAAAAAGAAGCTGGACTCTCAAAGATACTTGAAGGAGGAGACTAAGCAAAGAACAAGAATGAAGGTTGGTGCTGGTAAGAAGCCAGCAAAGGAAAAGAGATAGGAATGAGCTAGGATGATGCTGATAGGAATAGAGTGAAGTCAGTTAAGTAGAAATGAAAGGCCAGAGGATCTGGTGGTCCCTAAAATGTACTGCCCCTCTCCAGAACCTGGAAAAGAACCCAAAATTCCTGTCTCAGCACTCCCCTGCTTTTCTCAAATGACTGAAAAAGGTCTGGTAGGGTTCATGCCTCATCTGAGGTAGTTCACAGAAAACTTACTAGTGCTATCCATGACAGCTTAAGTAGAGTAGTTTTGAGTGGGAGACCTCAGCATCAAGTCCCACAGAAAAAGACTGTGGGTGTCAAAACAATTCCACATAATGGAATTTTAATGTTTTCAAGTTTGGTCTTTTACAAATCTGAGAAATCATATACAAATTTTAACAAGTCATGTTGGAAGAGTTATACTACAAAGTCAAGTACACGGACATTAAAAACCAAGTAAATTAAGAATGCACATGCAACTGATGTGTTTACACTTGTGAAGAGTCTTTGTATGATCTTGTTTATCCTTATAGACCTCCTCACCCCTGCCTTGTGTGCTCAGAGCTCACGTACCGGGCAGTTCTATGATGTTTAACCACAGATCCATTAGTTTGTAACTCCTGAATGCTCAACTCTGTGGCTGTAGTAGTGCTCTTGACAATCTTTTATGTGGCATTATCGCTTGGATTGCCTTTTCAAAAACAGGGGAGTTTAGAGCTGTTTGAGAGTCCAAGTCCTAAATGCTTTCAGCCCTACTAACCTTACATTTTGCTCCAGAAAATCTTTTCATGCAGAGTCTAAGCAGCTTTCTTTTAAAAACACATTTCCTCCAATTTCAGACACACACGTAGTCCAAATGTTGGCTTGCATTTCACTCCTCTCTCAAAAAGTCTGAAGCTACGTTTTCTTATTCGTATTACTGTAATGCCTCTGAGGTTTAATCATGGACCAGGACCCACTAAGCTGGCAATAATCAAGCCTCAGCAATTTAACAGATAACATTAAAAGAAAATGAGAGGTATGGTATGAGAACAACTCTATGGTATCAAGTACTTTTAGCATATAAATAAAATGGGGATAACAGCCCTGCCCTGCCTCACAGCAGTGTTGTGAGAATAGATATGTTAAAGATTACAAGGCACTAACTAAGATATTACGGTAAGAGGGACAAGATAAGCATCTAACCAAATCCTTGAAATCAGTGGGAGTTTTGCCTAGCAAAAAGCTCCTGGATGTGATCTCAGAAGACTAATTCAGTACATACCATGAGATGGGAGAATTTCTAGAAGTATTTGTTACCCATCTAACTCTGGTCCCTGCAGTCAATGGTAAAATTCCCAGCTATAATCTGGCTGATGCTTAGTGCTCTTGAAAAACCTAACGGTTTCATCGTTCATATGTAACAAAAATTTAGGGTTTGATCCAAAACTCACTGAAGTCACCTGGAGCTTTTCCCTTAACTCTTGTGAGCTTTGGATCAGAGCCTGCAAGATTACATGAGTCTAATACTTAATTCTGAGCTGGAAAAAAGCAAGTCACGCCCCCACCAGGGAATCTGAGGAAAAATGGGGTATCTGTACCTTTTTTATTTCTTTCGCTCTGGGATTGATAACTAAACATATCATACATACTAGTGGTTTCTCTATAATTTATTAATAAATAATTATACATATTCCTATCTACATACCTGGCTTTTTTTTCCCTTTCTGTCCTGGTACCATTTCTGTGGGTTCATGAGTTTTCTTCATCAACATGGAGAGAGTAGCATCATGTGTCCGAAAGAGATCCACAACTTTATATAAATCAACATCTGTTATCAGATCACAGCTCAACACCAAGACATCAGTCTGTCAAAGAAGAAAAAAAAAAAAACAAAACAAAAAAGACACAAACCCTTCAGAGATACAAATGACCACATACGGATTAGAATTTGAGGACTCAACAACAAATAAAATCATAACTTTTTTTTGCCCTTTTTTTTAAAATTTAAAAAAACACAAGGTCTGCCATATTCTGCCAAAAATAGTTACTTTTTACCAGTTAGCTTTTCTTGAGCCCTGCTGTTACTGAATTAGTTATTTGGTTAATGCTTATCCAGCTCTGGACCATAAAGAATATATGACCATCTAAACTGTTATCATCTGCTAAGGGAAGGAACCAGAACACAGAAGCCATGGCTTTCAAGACTGCCATGAAATTCTGCAGTATTTACAACAGTTACTTTTAGTTACATAATGATGTAGAAAAGAAATCTTTCTGAAGAAATCTTTTTTAGCTGACTTAGCATCTGGCTAAAAACCACTGGAAAAGATATTTAAACTATGTTATTTTATCGGGGAAAAAAAGCAAAGCCTATCTAGGATGTGATTTACTCAGTAATTGCACTGCGATGGTGGGCTCAGTTTAGAAATACATTTCCTAAAACCAGCAATACCCCATATGAAAAAAAAAAGAGGAAGTTAGGTCCTATTTAATAACAGGCTTGTATTTAATTTTGATCTCAAAGGATTCCAAAGTGCCTTACAAAGTATTTAAGAGAACTGGTGCATATATCACAGAAACATTGTCACATATTGAGCGAGACATAGCAGCTTCATTAACCATGCACACTATCAATATACTCTGACTAAAAACTCTTACTTAGAAACAATTTTCTGTATTTCACATGGGTTTTGGAATATATTGCCAAAAAATCTACTAGTTCGGCAATTATCTTCATTTAAACTAATACTAACATAATATTTGTGCAGCATGGCCTACAGAACAGTAGCAAGTTTCCACTTTATTTTTTGTTAATGATTAACATTCTAAATGTGTCTCAAGAAGATAGTGTTTCTTTCTTGACATTTACCATTTTCACTTTCTGTGCTACCATTTATTACAGCAAGCCTCCCCGCAGAGTGTGACATGGCTTCCTAGTTTTGTCTTTTTAAAAGATATTATTTATAAAAAAGACACTAGAAAATACTTGGTAAAACCCGAGTTGATTAACTCATGGAGGATGAGTAATTCTACTTTTACTTTTGAAAAATATCTTGGTTTAAAGCGAACTAGTTCAGCATTGACCTTTTATTACAGAAAGGTTTGCTTTACAGTCTTTATCTAACAGTAGGAGATTCCACATTGTAGGTGAGACTGAGGTCTGGTATTTACATTATTTGACAGGTTCTCCTACAAACGCTAGGCAGTTTCACATGTTTACCGATAAGTCATTGGAATTCATTATGTCACAAACTGTTCGAGCTGCTGATTTGGCATGCTGTGCAAAAGGTCAAGCTCTTCAATTTTCATTTGATTTCTCCCCACTTTACTGACAAACACCTGGCTGCTTTACAGGAAGGAACAAACCTGCAGGTTGAGAATTTTACACATTCAAAACCTGTCTTGCACCGTCCCTTTTAACATATTTTCAAAATATGTATTTTATATTACAGTTTTAGTCAGGAGAAGTGCTTTAATTATCACTTCTCTAAAACAAACAACATGCACACATCGGAAAAAACTCCCAACCTAAACCACTGGAGCACTCTGGAGCAGCCCTGTGCCAACATTCCAGTGTGTACAAAGAAAGTAAGAAAAAAAATTCAACTTGGTATGGAAGTAAATCTCCCGCTTCATAACTGTAAATGGTGAAGAAACACATATTAAATATCCTGGAAAATCCTGCAAAATTTTCAGATATTCTGTTTTTACAAGAGCAGAAATAAGAGTTACGCTATTTGCAGAAAGGCCAAAAGGTATCCAAGACCCATATATATAGATCTGCACTTTTCAAACTCAGTTTGTAGAAGGAAGAGGTCGCTGGTTTCAAATCTAAATGCATTCACTCCAGTTGTGAAAATAATAAATAATAATAAAAAGAGAGACACAGACACACCGATAGATTTATCCTAAGGAACAAGTACCTGGACTTGTAAAAGAAACCTTGTAATTATTTCACATTTTACTAAATACTTTAATCTGTCACTATAGCAAAAACCCAACCAGCGTTTCATAGTTGTGAACAGGCTCCTAGGTTTTTTCTCCTCACTTTAGGACAAGCTTTTTGCAAAAACTGAATGCAAGACCCCTGAGGAGCATACGGGAACAGAACCACCAAATGTCTGGTTGCCATCTGTTCTACCCATTTACTCTCCCAATATGTAAATAAACGTCAGTGAGCACAGGGACCAGTGAAACACACAGTTGCTCTGTAAAACCCACATTTCTGCCTCTCCTCCTGATGAGCAGAGCAGTGGCCTCAGAAGCACGCTGAGAATACACCATGAAAGGCTCTTTTGGGACTTGACAGCCTCCCCTTTGAAACACCACCCCCCTCATAAATAAAGCCCTCACTGTCTAATGGATGCACTTTTTTCCCAGTGTACAACTCCTGAAAGAATAAACTAATGGCTGAATGAAAAAATAAACTATCCTAGAACCCTAGCAGAAGCGTGTGTTTTTCTTCACGTTTTTAGGGTGGGTGTAGAAGAAAGAAAATAAATGGTAGAGCTTGTGGGTTTTTTACATATATACATGCCAAATAAATACAGTGCACCTTTCCCAGTGAGCCACTGATACAAAGAGGTACGTACTTACTACATGCACTCATGTGCTAACAAGGGGTATGTGAACATACTTGACTTCATGAATTATGCAAACACCTAAAGTACACACACACATCTCTTAATGAAATACATATAACAATGATTACATCAACCCCAAACTATTATACAAACAGACGATAAGAATCAACATGAACTGATTAAAAAAACCCAGCAAGCACACACCCCAAGCAGAACCACTGCAAAGGAACTAAAACACATGCACAAATGCACTCTCAGCACCCTCTACAATACGGGGAAGGACAAGGCAAAGGTCGTAACTCAAGGAGGACCATCTAATGGATGGGGCATGAAACTAAATGCTTGGAATTTCTGGTGGTTTCCTGCTCTGCCAAACCTGATACGTGCCATTTTGTTTACTACTGTTACGACACAGAGGAGCCCTCATCACAGACCAGGGCTCTACCACAGAAGCTGCCATACAGACCAGGTGAAAACATCATCAAGCATAATAAAAGAGAACAGCAAATGACTTTGGGTTGGGGAACACAAGAGAACACTGCATTACTACTCAGGTATAGGGACAGCAGCCCTAGCTTGCTGGTAGCACAGCTCACATTTTTGTGAGTGTCACAAGAGCCACAGAAAAGACAAGGAGAACATGACACTCCTTGGAAGAGTCACTTGGGCCTCAGTAATCCCATTTTACCTCAGATTCGCAATTTACGCACTCAAGTTCAGAATTTAGACTCGGCTGCTGATCAGTGGAGAAAAACAAGGTCCTGCAGAGATCATCCCACCTATGCTGCGAGTTTCAAGGAGATGTTTCTCTGTTCCTACTGACCATGGATGGAGCCCTGGGCTTCCAGTCTAGCCATTGCTGAACAGAGAGTGTTCAGTCAAGTAAAGTACAGAAACATGGCACTTAAGGCCTCCAGATCTCTGCTCTCCCTTTTTAACACTAGCTAACCGCACTTCACCATCAAACATTTCCGAACTGTGAAATGCTTAGATATTATGAGATAACTTACATATACGATCTGGATAAATACAACACTGAACATAAACCATCAAGAGATTTATACAAAATAGAGAAAAAAACAGTAAAGAAAAAAAATCAAAACCAACATGTCAACAATTATATTAAACCCAGCACAATATGGAAAATCTACACAAAAACAAGACCAAAAAGCAGAATGGTTCAAAAACTTAGTTCAAGACAGCCAATTTAAAAATAGAAAACATGTTTTCAATGGAACTAATTCATACCACAGATCAAAAGATGGATGCAATTATATGGTGCAATATACCAGCATAAATAAAAAGCCTTGGACTTTCTCACACCCTGCATACAAAGGCAATGCTAAAAACTCTTTTATATTCAGCAGTAATTGCTGGATCCCTTCTGTTCAAACAGGAGATATTAAGGTTACCACAGATAGCTGGCAGCAAGTGATGAATTTTAGTGGCATTCACTATGCTTTTTCTATCAAGTATAGACAAGGGCAGGACCTCATAGCCTAAACTGCTGATGGTCTCAAAAACTGCAGACTAGAAAATGAGAAAACATGTGTGGCAAGGAAATCTCTAATTTGAACAAAATCAGCCTCAAGAGAAAGAGAAAAGCAAATGTCAGATTGCATTATAAACAGAAAAGAGGCAAAATATCCACGAGCAGTAGAACTAGCTCCTAACAGAACTGAAGTCAGACAAAACATTGAAGTTAAATGCTAAAAGTTTCCAATTGCACAGTATTACAGCTGAGACTTTGACAGGAAAAAAAATAAAATCAAGATACTAGACTCTGTTCCTTCACTCAGCCTAAGTTAACACATACACAAACAGAGAACTTTGCATCACTTCCTGCAGTGTCACCATACAACAGAGGAGAGAGGAACAAGTTATAATTACTGCTGGAATTAAGACTGAATTTTATACACAATAGTCTGGAACTTCACCCACACGTTGCATTAACAGTGGGGTTTGTGTGTAATGCTTTTATTATTCTAAAGAGTGGAAATGGAAAGAACAGTTTGGCTGTGGGCAAGCGTTCTGATTGCTTGTTAGCATGCTCCAGGCAAAGCCAAAGATACCTCCTAGCAATTACATTACTCACCACTCTTCAGATCAGAAACTTACATGCAAGGCTTTAGAGAATCCTTTTTTATCTCAGACTCCATTAAGAGTCCTCCAATTTCCACACCTGTGACCTCTTTGAAGCTCTATGGCTGTTGCTGTAACTGGAGGAGGGACCCTCATTTTTTTTTCTGATGTCTGTAGGATCTTGTTAGCTACCAACTGAA